TAAATGTGACTAAACTCACATAAGCCACATGTTCTCAGGTCGGCCAGTGCCCATTAAATTTGAATAGAATTGACAGATGCGATTATTAAGCATACTATCTTGTGTATTGTCAATAGAAGCGAAGAGACGGGTTCCAGGAAGCAGTCGTGAAGAAGGAGACACGATCGCTGAGACAAGAACTTTATTCGCCTGACGCTTCGGATTGCTGATCAAACCCATCATCAGAGAAAAAAGCAGATACGGGTGGTTCATGCACAAGGGGCTGCAGTATTTACAGGATGCAGTCGTCATGCTACCGCCGAAATTCTCGCTAGAGGTGACAACCGCGTGAACCGCGAGCTGCTTGAGTCATGATTCAGTGGACCCTAGTCCATTAACAAGTGCAACGATCTTCCCCTTCCATATCTGTGCTGAGACTTCGCCTAGGCGGAGCAATTAGCCATGCGGGGAGCGCACAGGTGAACACTGTTCCCAACGCCAGGATCGGTGGGTCAGATGGTCGAGCAATCATCACTCCAACATCCAACACACGTAATGAAATTGCAGCAATTAACGGCGCGAATATTGGCTACCAAACAGTCATCACACCAAGTGCACCGATCCCTCGTGAGGGGGGACACGGTAGCATGGCGACTGCCTCTTATAAATATTATAGCACCTTGTGCATGAACCATCCGTATCTGCTTTCCTCCCTGATGATGGGTTCGAGAAGGAATCCGAAACGTCAAGCGAATAAAGTGCTTGTCCCAGCGATCGCGTCTCCTTCGTGCCTGAAACGGCCCGTTTCGAAAGATTTACTCCAAGTTCGCGCATTAATTTCCTCGGAAATTAAACAAGGCAAGTTAAAACTGGAGTTCATATACTAGAAAACACACGGGGAAAGCTGGGGGACCCCCTGACGAGCCGAACCCCTCGCAGCTGCGTCAGGCGGCGGCATAAGATCGGCGAAACATGCGTGTCTGGGCTTTTAGCTAATACCTGTGTTGTTAGTACGGTAAATCATTGCACAATATCTTGTGTATGTTATGAGAGGTTTTCTCACGTCGAAATTATGTACAGTAGTATCTGCTGTCGAACAAGTTTGGAAATTCTCCACATCTATCTTCTGTGAGCTTCTATCTGACCTACGTGCATGGTGTTCCCAACTTCCTTTGTTCTTTACCTTGCCCACCTGAACTAGACTTCGTTTGGTCGGCTCTTGACTTTGACCTTGAGAACGAGGGTCGCTCTTATTGGTCGAAATCCTTCCCTGTACACGCGTGTGACTAAATGCTGACAAAAGCACGTTTTCCGCTGTCCAGAATCAGGCGTTAAATTCGGCCAACTCCTTTTTTCTGGGTAAGGGTATCCACTGTTGAGGTTTGAGCCTTTTTTATTCTTGATTATTTATTAATAGCACCGTGCAAAAGCCAGCTGCTGTCTTCACTTTTTGATTTGACGTACGCGGTTGCCCTAGGCTGCCGAATTGTCGGTAATATGCAGTTTTTGCTTACAGTGGAGTCGACTGAGTTTCAGTGTCCTCGAAAGATCAGCGAGTACTTTGCGGTTTTCAGTCCTCTCAAAAGCTTACGAAAAAGACAGGTTCTATGTTATGTGTTTATCAGGACCTTAAAAGTAAGCTACTTCTTGAAATCATTTGCCGAAGTAATGAGTGATTGGGCGCTCTTGTTCACGTAGATGGCCGTCTGGACCGCATTTGAAGACTTGGTACGGATTAAGTATATGTGCGGGGTAGGAAAATGGTAGCCGGTGGACCGTGTCTTACGGGAATGGTAATAATAGGGGCTATTCGGGTGAGGCTTTACAACGGGCAGTGGGAAGGAGGGGGAAGCGGAATTTTAAAAAATTCAAAAACGGTTGTGAAGCCATGTCTGTGGTGCAATAGTAAACGGAAATCAGTCGCGTAATTAAAAAAAATAAAAAAGCTTGAGTCAGGAGAATTAAGGAAACTGAACAAACCGCCGCTGACTAATTTACTTGGGGTCAGAGTCCAAGGCATTTCGTAGCCAATAGGGATAGAGAGCTGTGAGTGGTGCTAATTCGCCTAGGTCGTGGAAAGTAACGACACGCTCATTAGTGTACGAGGAAATAAGCAAATTTACTAGCAGAAGCGAAGAGTCGAGTTCCAGGAAGTAGTCGCAAAGCAGGGGACACGATCCCTGGAACAAGTGTTTTACTAGCCAGATGTTTCGGATTCTCACTCGAATCCATCATCAGAGACAGAGTCAGATAAGGGTGGTAAACTGCCCATGTGTTGCAATATTTATAGGATGTAGTTTCTAGACCGCTACACGCCTATCGCTGTTGGCCTCATGATCTGTCGCCTTATGATTGCCTCCGGTCTGTGTACAACTCCAATTCCAAGGGACGCAAGAAGGCGGCTGACGGCTTCTGAGACATTCTTCACGTACGGAGCAGCTCGCCAAAACTTGGGGCCGGTTGGATTTTGTCTCTCGCCTCGTTTACGCAGGCACTGGTTGACGAAGTTGCGCGGGTAGCCATTCACTCCAAGCACCCATCGAAGGTATTGTAATTCAGCAACCTTGTCTTCTGGTTCACTGTAGTGTGTCTCCGCCCTCTGGTGTAGCGCCCTTATACAACTGCGTTTGTGACTGACTGGGTGGTTGCTGTTGTAGCTCAGTACTTGTGTCGTGTTTATCGCTTTCCTGAATACTTTGATTTTTAAGTCACCAAAGACCGGAGGCAACCATAAGGCGCCAGATCATGAGGTCGAAGGACCCATCGCCACGGCAGGAAACATCTGGAGTCGTTTAACGGGTCTGGTTCAGCAAAGCAACTACGTCGGAGAAACCGGAAGACTACTTCGGACGCGGTTGGCCGGGCAAGCGGCAGCAGTGAGGAGGATCTACACTAACTCCCAAGTCGCGGCAGATTCGACGGGACCCAACCACCCAATCAAGTTTGACGAAGCGGAAATTCTTGCTAGAGCGGCAACCGCATGAGCCGCGAACTGCTCGAGTCATGGTTTCCGGTCCTCAATCAATCAACAAACTCAATGACCTCCTCTCTCCGTATTCGGCGCTGAGACTTAGCCTAGGCGAAGTAGTTAGCCACGAGGAGGACGTGCGAATAACTACTGTCTCCGGTATCAATCGCGGCGAGCCAATTCACCTAAGACTCCACGTGGATGGCGAAATCCGGTAGTCAGTCCTTCGGCGGCGTGCGATGAGTGTGGGAGCCGTTAATCGTGACCGGCATACAGGGGCATAGCAACGGCATGGCAAGGGCCTACCACAACACCTGGCCAGTCGAGCTATGGTACACTCGGGAGCTGCCAACTGTGGTAGGCATGTGGTGGCCTAACAACTACATCCTATAAATATTGCTACACCTGGGCATTTTACCATCCTTATCTGACTCTGTCTCTGATGATGGATTCGAGTGAGAATCCAAAACGTCAGGCTAATAAAGCACTTGCTCCAGCGATCGTGCCTTCTTCTCCGTAACTGCGTGAGAAGGAAGATAACCAATGTAAAAAATACAAGTGCTGTTTTTTAACAATTTAATCAGCGTTTTAAAACTCCAGTCTTACTGACAGATGCATGCATTCTGTCTACCGATATTGCTAGCATATTTTTTTACTTCCTGACTGCTCTCCGTACTGAACTTTTTTAAACTGAATTTTCGAATATGTGTGTCACTTACTAGTAATGTGCCGATTTCGTTCTGATTGATATTAAGCAAAGCGTGGTATGCGTGAATAAAAGAACGGTAATGATGATTAAGAACTTCAGATAGAGGTCTATCTATGTGTGCGTGTTAAATCCTTTTATAAATCGGGAAAAAAATATAACGGGGTGCCCTACAGTAAATAAGAAACACTCCGTCCGACGTGTTACCTCCTTGCTGATGACACACAGACCAACCAAATTCATTTCGCAGAGTCAGTCAAAGGCTATAAGGGAACTGAGGATGGACGACAGAATCATCATTCTGTCTGCTGACAAGGGACGATCAACCGTTGTGATGAATCGAGAAGACCATAAGGAAAATGCTAAAAGCCCTTTTCGAAGACAGATAATTCTACAGACCAGTACAAAACTCATAAGCCAAAGCAGTGGCAGATCGGCTGAGTAAACTGCTTGGAGAATGCCGACATAAAAATGTTATCACCGATAATGGATGGCATCAACTAAGGGCAACTGACGCCGCTCTAGCTCGATTCTATGGTCTGCCAAAAATCCACAAAACAAATGTCCCACTTCGGCCAATCATCGCCCTAAAAGGCAGCCCCACCTACAATTTGGCGAAGTGAATGTATTCAAAACTGAAGTTACTCTAGGGCAATTCGAATACCTCAGTTCAATCAGCCTCTCAATTCCTCATAGACCTAGAAGGTCGGAGGATTCAATCGGATGAAATCATGGTCTCCTTCGGTGTGGCGTCGTAATTACGTCCATCCCACCAAACTTGGCTTGCGAAGTCTTGAGCAAGAGACTTGAAGAGGCGTACGACGAGACCCAGAATGCACTCAACATCGAACACCACATGAAGCTGTTTGAATTCTGCCAACAAACTTTCTTCACTTTCGCTGGAGAGACATGTCAACAAATCAAGGGAGCCCCAATGGGATTGTGGTGAGGTACCTGACTAATTTACCTTTGACAATTTAGTCCCATTTCCTTTGACCGCATTGCTTGTTTGAACGTGACGAGAAACGACACACCTGTACAACCCGCCTTGCTAGCGTGCTCTGCTGTGGTATTCTGTTGTCAGTTTTTCTTAACGTTCAAAAAGCTCTATATTATTCACTGCTCCGATTTACTTGCTGCATTTAAGGCTAGGGGCTCGTCAGATATAACTCGTTAGTTCGTGAGAACATTACGATTTACGACATTGGTGACTCCCGACGTTTACGCAGACTTTATACCTTTCTGTCCTACTGGATAACATTTAACGTACTATTTGCTTGTGAATATCTATTCCATTTACATTTACTTTCCTCACGAATTCTGATTTTTTGCCATCTCTGTCTTATTATGCCTCACTCCGATCAACAACTTGATGCCCCCGCCCAGTCCCTTCGTGCAATCAATTTTACTTTGCCTGAATTCTGGCAACACGCTCCAGAACTTTACTTCATCCGCATAGAATCAGCCTTTTATTCTGCCAACGTTACCAAGGAGCTAGCAAAATACCACAAACTCGTGGAAGTCCTCCCCGCTAGTGTCATCTCTCAAGTTCAGTCCTTGCTAGCTAATCCTCCTGCAGATGTTCCCTACTCCGCGTTAAAGGTAGAAATCCTCCGACTTAATTCTGTGTCTGACCGACAGAGGTATCACCAGTTAATTAAGGAGGAGTCACTGGGTGACCGGAAGCCCTCAGAGCTTCTACGTCGGATGCGCTGTCTCCTTGGAGACATGCAAGTTGAGGATAAATTTGTCAAGGAGATGTTCCTGGAGCGTCTGCCCACAGATGTTCAAACGATCCTGGCGTCCGGCTCTCAGGATCTCACAGTGTCACAGTTGGCTGAGATGGCGGATCGAATGAGAGGTGTAACGATTCCAGTCACCTTCCGTTGCCCAGATCTCATCCTCATCGTCAGTGAATGAGCATTTACTAAAACATGTGTCGGCCATGGCAGATAAGATGGCCTCTCTTAAAATACAGCTCGCCCGCCTAACTTCCAGTTGCTCACGCAGTCGTCGTCGTTCTCGTTCGCGACCTCGGACTGCTGATACTTTCTGGTACCACACTAATTTCGGCGTAAAGGGCCGTCGCTGTTCCTCACCTTGCTCTTTTAAGCCAAAACAGGGAAACCAGTCAGCCAGAGAATAGATGCGACCGTTTCCTCTGGCTCCTCTGGCTCTGGTCGCACCTTCTATGTTTGCGACACTGCGACTCGCAGACGTTTTCTGGTGGACACTGGAGCTCAAATCAGTGTTGTTCCCCCAACTGCAGCTGATCGTCGTTTCCCTAGTCCTGGTCTTCATCTTCAAGCTGCTAACTGTTCCCCAATTCCCACTTTTGGCAGTCTGTCCCTCACCCTGAACATTGGCCTTCGTCGGTCATTTACTTGGATCTTTGTGATTGCTCATGTCCCTCATGCAATCCTCGGCTCGGACTTCCTTGCCGAGTTTGATCTCCTTGTTGACTGTCGACGTGCCCGTCTCCTCGACCGCACCAGCGGTCTGTTCGTCCGTGGACTAACTCCATTTACTGCCCCCACCAACTTATCTGTCCTGGATACAGATATTGCTAGTCCTTTTCGGCAACTGCTGCTTAGTCACCCCAACATAATTAACGCCCAGTTTCGCAGTGGTGAAGTTCAACATGATGTTGTGCACCATATCCGCACCTCAGGTCCTCCCGTGTTTGCTCGACCGAGACGACTAGCACCTGAGCGTTTTCAGGCCGCGAAGGCGGAGTTTGAACACATGCTGCAACTGGGAATAATTCGACCGTCCGAGAGCCCTTGGGCGTCCCCACTGCACATGGTGCCCAAGGCAACATCAGGCGACTGGCGGCCCTGTGGTGACTATCGCGCCCTCAACAATGCGACCATCCCGGATCGTTATCCCGTCCCTCATCTTCAAGATTTTGCTGGAGCTCTTTTCGGCAAATCGGTTTTCTCGAAGATTGACCTTGTTCGGGCCTTCCATCAGATTCCTGTCGCTCCTGAGGATGTTCCCAAAACTGCCGTCACCACACCATTCGGCCTGTTCGAATTTATTCTCATGCCATTTGGTCTTCGCAATGCTGCCCAAACATTTCAGAGGTTCATTGATCGAGTCCTACGTGGTCTCCCGTTTGTGTACGCCTACATCGATGACCTCTTGGTGGCCAGTCGAAATGCCGAGGAACACAAAGAGCATCTTGCCTTAGTGTTTGACCGCCTCGATCAGTTTGGCGTGGTCATTAACCCTTCCAAGTGTGTTCTGGGTGTGCCGTCCCTTGATTTTCTTGGTCACCATATCGATGCACAAGGTTTGCGTCCCCTCTCTTCCAAGGTTGAGGCCATTCGTGACTTTCCTCCACCAACCTCCAAGCGTCAGCTGCAACGTTTCCTTGGCATGGTAAACTTTTATCGCCGGTTCCTACCGAACTGTGCCGACCTTATGCTGCCACGCACCAACTTGCTCTCTGGTCCCAAGGGTCCCCTTGAGTTACGTGGCCACGCGCTGACTGCATTTGAGAGAATAAAGACCTCCCTTGCTGATGCTACCTTGCTCACTCATCCTGCTCCAGAAGCCCCATTGTCCCTGATGGTTGATGCTTCGACCGTTGCCGTAGGAGCAGTCCTCCAACAGCATATCAACAACTCGACACGACCGTTGGCATTCTTCTCCAAGAAGCTTTCACCTGCCGAGACGAGACATAGCACGTTTGGCCGTGAACTTCTTGCCATTTACCTAGCCGTAAAACATTTCCGACACTTCCTTGAGGGTCGTGACTTCACCATTTTCACAGACCACTAACCACTTACATTTGCCATCCGATCCCATTCTGACAAATATAGCCCGAGAGAGATTTCTCATTTGGATTACATCTCGCAATTCACCACCGACATCCACCACATTGATGACCCGAAGAATGAGGTGGCTGATATGCTGTCCAGACCCTCACTGTCTTCCCTCCAACTCTCACACGGGATTGATCTTTGTGCCATGGCGGCTGAGCAGCAGCGAGTCGGTTGTCCTGGCGAAGAGTCTGTTAGTGGTCTCCAACTCAAAGACGTTCCTCTGACCACCGGCTCTGGTACCATACTTTGTGACGTCTCAACTCCCTTTCATCGCCCTTTTGTGCCCGCCTCGATGCGTCGAGCTGTATTTCAAACTCTGCATGGACTCTCCCACCCTGGGATCCGAGCCTCTCAAAAGCTCCTCGCGGAAAGGTTTGTCTGGCCTGGCATGAACAAGGACGTCAAAGCTTGGGCCCGGTCGTGTCTGAGCTGCCAGCGCAACAAGGTGCAGCGTCACAACAAGTCCTCACCAGGCACTTTCCCCAGTCCCGACGCACGGTTCAACCATGTGCACCTGGATGTCGTAGACCCCTTGCTTCCATCCAATGGTTTCACCTACCTCCTTACCTGTGTCGATCGATATACTCGCTGGGCTGAAGCTATTCCTTTGCCGAATGTTCAGGCTGAAACCATCGTGAAGGCCTTCGTCAGTCGTTGGGTCGCCATGTTCGGTGCCCCATCCACGGTTACGACTGATCGTGGTGCCCAGTTTGAGTCGGCACTCTTCCAAACGCTACTCAATTTCCTTGGCTGCACACGCATTCGGACGACAGCCTACCACCCCGCTGCCAACGGTATGGTGGAACGTTTCCATCGCCAGCTAAAGACCGCTCTGCATGCCGTAGAAGACCCAGGAAACTGGTCGGACAACCTTCCTCTTGCACTCCTCGGCATCCGCGCAGCTCTGAAGTCGGATCTGGGCTGTAGCGCAGCTGAATTGGTTTTCGGCACTACCCTCCGACTGCCAGGCGAGATGATCACCCCAACCTCTCGTGGAGCCGACGAGACTCCTGACAATCTTGTGCACCGTTTGCGGCAATTTATGCGCTCGCTTTCCCCGGTTCCACCTCGAGCTCCAATGACTGAGTCTTATGTCGAAAAAGACTTGGACAAGTGTACTCATGTGTTCGTCCGGTGTGACCGTGTGCACCAGCCGCTGGAATCACCATATGAAGGACCGTTCCGCGTGCTCGCGCGCAACACCAAGACCTTCCGGATTCTTCGCAGTGACAAGGAGGACGTGGTCAGTGTCGATCGGGTCAAGGCTGCTGTTGCGGAGGAGCCGCCGGACCTGTCACAAGGACAAACATGTGCTGACCCCCTAACCCCTGTTCCTCCATCTTCCCTATCCCCTACTCGTTCACCCTGCCCACTGCCTTGCCCTTCCCCGCCCTTGCCCTCTACCCCTCCGTCCCCCATACTTCCTCTCCCTACATGTCAACAGCATCCAACTGCAACACCATCGTCCACCACAGCACGCAGTCAACCCTCTTCGACTGTACCTCCTGCATACATAACTCGCAGTGGCCGTCACGTTCATTTTCCCGATCGTTTAGTTACCCATTTTTTCTAGACTTGTGCATATCCTCCGGCGCCGTATCCCGTCGCCCTCCGGTCTAGAAGGGGGGTACTGTGGTGAGGTACCTGACTAATTTACCTTTGACAATTTAGTCCCATTTCCTTTGACCGCATTACTTGTTTGAATGTGACGAGAAACGACACACCTGTACAACCCGCCTTGCTAGCGTGCTCTGCTGTGGTATTCTGTTGTCAGTTTTTCTTAACGTTCAAAAATCTCTATATTATTCACTGCTCCGATTTACTTGCTGCATTTAAGGCTAGGGGCTCGTCAGATATAACTCGTTAGTTCGTGAGAACATTACGATTAACGACAGGATCACCGGTCTCCGGTTTAGTGGCAGAACTGTTCATACAGGACTTAGGAAAGATTGCCTTCATCCAACATGAGCCGGTATTTTGGCACCGGTATGTAGACGACACGTTTATCATCGTAAAGAAGGACATACTGCAACATTTCCACGGCCTGGTCAATGCAGTCTGCCCTGATATAAAATTCACGAGGGAAGAAAAACAGGAACAGCAGTTGCCCTTCCTGGATGTGCTCGTCAGACGAAACCTCAACGGTGAACTTGAAACGACGGTTTATAGGAAGGCAACGAACACCATACAGCTTCTCAGTTTTCACAGCAACCGTCCGATGGTCCACTAACGAAGCTGTGTGCAGATGCTCTTTAAACGGATCCAAAGTCATTGCAGCAAACCGGAGGACAGAGCACGTGAGGCCCGTTATCTCCGCGACCAGTTTGTGCAAAATGGCTATCCGAGGGCATTCATAAGTCACTGCCTACGCGGTCGCCACCAGAGGACTCAAACAACAACACCACCGACTATATGGCATTCTCTGCCATACATCATGGGCGTTTCAGAAGCGACCGATCGCAGCGCTGCGGAGCTAGGTGTTGGAATTGCACACCGCCTCAAAGCCACCGTGCCCAGTAGGGTCATGAAAATAAAAGACCGGTTAAAGCCTGAAGAGCAATCTGGAGTGGTGTATCGCATCCCCTGTCAAAACCGTCCTTGTAACTACACAGGCCAGATTGGACACATACTCGGATCGCGCATACACGAATATAAGCTGGCTATGCGACGAGGCGACGCATTATCACAAGTGGCCGCCAACACCTACGAAATGGATCACGAGTTTAACTTCGCAGTCACCAAAATAGTCGCCCACGCTGGAAACAAAACAGGCCGAGAATTTATTTAAGCCTGGGCCTTGGATGAGAGCTCAGTCAATCGATTTATCGATCTGGCGCCGGCGTATAGAGCCCTGCACAGTTGTAACGCCCCTGGACTTGAACAGAATTGTTTGAATGTATGACACTTCCGCGCGAGGACCTAGGGTGGAGATGGCGTAATCGCGTGTCGGTGAAGATGGCCGGTGCCCCTTCTCTCTCTTCCGCCGATTCCTCCCCATCCCGTAACGCTCGCATCGCTCTCCCTCTCACTACATCGGCACCTCCCACGGCCCTTCCCTGCAGTTGCCCACAGCGCTGCAGTCGCCACCGGTTAATGAGCTGGCATGACGGTATCGCCTCTCCACCCAGACAGGTTCTCTGATGGTTGAAACTCATTCCAACTGTACGAGTAACTATTATTATTATACGTATCTCCCATGACCGTCTTGTTATACTTTACTGTATTCCGTTCCTGATAAACCCTCTTCTGCTGCGTGTGAATGAGTATTCAGAGATGCTAACGACTCTGTTCAGATCTATCTCCTCCAGGATCTACTCTCAGAGTTCTCTTACTTTGGTGTGTGCCACCCTTGACGTCCTCGACCGCTACACAGTCCCTTCCTGTCTTGCGCCGTCGGTCGATTATTGGCCTAAATGCCCTAAAACTGTCGCTTGTTCTGTTGCTGCTACTACCTTTGACGATGGACTCCTGCACGAGTCCGAAAGCTCAGGACAATAAACGAAGTGTTCCGGGGTTCGAAACCTCTTTTTCTTCGCTTAGGAATACGTCTGGAACTCGAACTTTCGCCTTCATTCGATAGTAACTATAATTTATTGTATCTTGTAGGCAAGCGGTACAAGTCAACCCGAAAGCCAGTCAGGCGTGTCGTGATGTACCGACCGTAGAAAATAAAATTATGCAAGAAATCACCTCCATTAAAGTGGCGTATTGTTCCCAAAATACAGCACTGCTGCCCATTATTCTAACTTGCAAATGCGGATGGCGTATTAGGCAACAAACTTATAAGCGGCACACGGACGGTTTCTACTTCACATCTAGCCGTTGTGGCTAGAGGAAAGCCCTAGACTCTTGTTCAGTGTTTGCCATCAGCCGATTAACAATGAGACAAACTCTGAGGATCTGCATTGCATTTGTGAGATGCACAAGTGTGAAGAAAGCCCTGAGTCCGGTCGAGCGGTGTGAGCGCACGTGGACGAAATGCAGAAACGTCTGTGGTTTCAACTATACAACGCAAACTTGAGGAGTACTCGGGAAACCTTTCTGTCCTATATTGCGGAAGTTAATCCCGTGCAGTGACATTACCCCCCAACTGAATTACTCACCATGTGACCAGACTGTAAACCGCAACGGATACGGAGGAAGTCATGTCGCAATGTTTTCCGTTGGGTGCCGGACATGACGGCGATAAGTGCGCCTCTTACAGCCCCCCCCCCCCAATTGCGGACAAAAAATACGTGTGGCTTCAATGCCATGTCCTCGACGCAGTTTAGCTCAAAGAATGCCGTCTTCCCTCGACTATATCTGTCAAAGCACCTGAGTAGATTTCGACCGAAAACGCTTTATTTCGCCTTTAACTAAGGAAGTAAGGAAGGACAATGAGGCAATACAGACATTTCAGCAGCACCGACTCCTGGGGGTGGTGCAGTTCAGCGAATGTCACCCTGCCGACGAAGGGCCGATCTGAAACTCTACCAAACCACACCTACTCTAAAAAGTGCAGTAGGCAGTTCTCGATAGGTTTTCCTTACTCCGCGCGTATGCTGAATCCTAACCGAGGACCTCCCAAACATGAAGCGTCATTGTCAAAAAGTCCCCAACATAATTCAACGACGAATATGCTTTCATATTGACCCAATTGTGAAAAACTCGACGCCTCGGTGGGATTCGAACCCACGACAGTAAGGGGAAGGCTTTAGTACAGCCAACGCTCTAACCACTTACTATATCGGATTTGGTGGATTCCAAACGTTGCAGTAGATTGGGCGGGTTACTTGACCCAAATGCGAGTAAACTCGCGTCGGCCGGCGGGGCCTCGTAGCTCAAGTGGTTAGAGCGTTGGCTGTACTAAAGCCTTCCCCCTTACTGCGTGGGTTCGAATCCCACTGAGGCGCCGAGTTTTTCACAGTTGGGCCAATATGAATTATTCAAGATCTACCAAAATACTATGAATATGCTTTCGACCAGCTGCTCTTTTAGAAATTTCTTAACTATTTATTCTCCTGGCGGATATCCCCGTACTTTAACTTTCTATACGATAAAGCCGGGAAAAACTTGGCATTTTTGGCCGTTTTTTTCACATTGCTATATCTCTGGGTTCGAATCCCACCGAGGCGCCGAGTTTTTCACAATTGGGCCAAAATGATTTATTGAAAATCGGCTAAAAATACCAGTACGTTAAGTGAACCTGGTAGTCATCTGTTGGACTCTCGGTGGATTATTTAGGAAATTCTTCTTGGAGTGACTGTTACAGAATTGGTGGACTCCATACGCTGCAGTAGGCTGCGCGGGTAACTTAACCTGAATGTGATCAAATTCACGACTACCGCTGGGGCCTCCTATCTCCGGTGGTGCTGGCCCTGCCCTTGTTGTTGTGGATTAGAATCGCACCGAGGTCACCAAATGTTTAACAATTGAACCAAATAAATCACCCAAGTCAAGGTGGGTAACTTGACCTGAATTTGATCAAATTTATGGCCCCCGATTGGGCCTCGTAGCTCAGGTGGTTAGGGCGCTAAATGCACTGATGTCTTACCCTTGCTGTCTTGAGTTCGAATCCCACAAAGCCCCCCTAGTTTTCCATAACCAAGTCAAAGGAATTATTTAAATCTGTCAAAACCACAAATGTAAACTGAAAATGGTCGCATTCGAGGTCTAAAGATCGAAGCGAACTGAAAGTGTTATGACTTCCAAAGATGCTTTCTTGACAGACGACACTTAGGGAAGGTAAGTGAAGTAAAGGACCTCCAGCATACCACTTAACCACTTCTGAAGACACCCTCCCAATGCGTCAAGATAACTGAAAGGGAGATAAGTTTTCAGTGACCGCAGTCTAAAAGTCTTTCGCACACACAAAAAAGATGGCTGGAATTCGTTCGAAGTTAGGCTGTGGGATTCGAAATAGGGCTTGAAAGCCATTATAGTGAGTTCAGAAGAGAGGTACGAGCGTTGTGAAGGGCTTTTGTCAGGCGCGAGGTGGCATAGCCAAAGTCCTGTGGAAATGGTCCTTTGAAGGTTAACAGATAATTACTTTCATATCCTACATTCCAATCTTCGTTGCCCCAGTACGCTGGCCTCCGGATTCCATAAATGGCTTAAGACGCACTTACTTTCAGTTCCAAACACAAAAACACTCAGGCGAATTGGAAGCTACACAGTTTTGTGCGCTGGATTCCCAGTGAATAGTCGGCTGGAAATAAAGCGGTTTGCCGTCGTTAACGTTCTTTTGAAAGCCGGAACTGTAGTCGAACAAAGGACTGATAATACGGTATTTTAGGTCAATAAGCGACTAACTAAGCACTCTAGGAGATAAAGGAAGCAGGTTTTCCACAGCGACCCCGTGACATAATGGGAAGAGTGTGATCTTACACGCCAGCGTTTCCGGGTTCGATCTTCGTCCTGTCGAAATTTCCATCCACAATGTCTATCAGTGGGTGCAAAGATAAATATCCTTATTATTACTCGACCTTTTCCTATAAGAATGCAGATAGACTTGACGGAATCTTATACAGACCTGCCGAAGTGGGAAGACTCGGGACTGGGCCTAACATTTAAATTAACTCTGTGTAATGGTCA